TAACTCGATTCATTTAATGCGTGGTTCTGGTACACGAGTTTTTGTTGTATTTTTTTTTCTAACGTTTTGCTTGCTTCTTTTCCTGCTCCCACGCATTGATCATCCTCTGATTGCGGTTCACTGGTTTCGAGTCTAAAATTCCGGATTAAGGACAAAGACTTTAAGATGAGAGATTGTGTGCTTCTGTCATTTTGGTTCTGTGACATAGCCGTGCTTTAATGGATCTACCGTGATAGTTCTGTTATTTAAGTTTTTATTCGCTGATTGCTGTTATCGCTTTGTTATTTTTTTGCTTTTTCATTTGTTATTCAGAAAAGCGAACTTTTTAGAGCTCTGGTTCAAGTAACACCCTTTCAATGTTATTGTGGCCTTTTTATTCAACTTCTAAGCTCGATATTTACGAATCTGTGCTGTAAAATTCATCCATTCAATATAAAGAGGGCAGATTTGTCAGAAACCTTGACATTTATCCTTTATTATATTTAGCTTATTTGTTCATTGTGGTGACAGTTTATTCAGCACTGTTTTGCTCTGTAGGTAGGGTTGTTATTTATGTACGGCTTTGCCCACTTTCAGTATTAATTGCAATCCGTGACTGATGCCAGTGAAGTTGTTGAATGGATAACTGTTGAATCGCATAGAAGTACTGTCAGCAGCCGTGATCCTGGCAATAGCCCCTGCTTTTTTGTTCCCTAATCAGACCTGACTAGGCTGAAAAAGTTTTTGCTAAATAATAATTTTGTCGCTTTTAGTGGGACAGGGTGGCTTCATTTGAAGCATCTTTGTTGTTCTGTGGTTATTGGTTCTGTTTAAAGATTACAGATTTAGACCCTGGTTTATGATTGACTGACTGATTAGTTAAATTGGGAATCAGGAAGTGCACGGCTGCTGTTGTTCCGGAGCAAGATCCACAGCAGTTTGCATTTCCATGTGATGATGAGTTACATTGTTCAGAGTATAGTTTAGTTACACTCTGTACCCTCACTTCACCTCTTCCCTCACACACTGTTTGTGTGGCGAGCTTAATATCGTATGATACAGGCTTCTTGGCTATGTTTGGATGGGCGTAATAGTTAATGAACTTATATCAAAAGGAACTTAGGAAAGGAAATTTTAAACTGAGTAACCCCAGAAAGAAAGTGCCAGTAGTTGCTGAATCATACTGTTGCGTAACAATTCTAACTGCGCTCAGTTGGTTACGCATGTAGGTTTGTCCCAGTCGTTTTGTTTTGCCATATGTTCTTTCTGCTGTAATCACTTTGGATTTTTCTCTGTTTATTCTAATGGCGTCCTATTGTATGACGTCACTTTTTGTTATGTTCTGTTCTCCTACTGTTGAACCTAAATTTTTCTACTTATTATGAAAATGAATTTTTGAGTAAGTGCAGCTGCTCAGATGTACTGAAAAGCTTGACGAACTTTAAGCCTTCACCGCCTCAGCTACTAGGTATCTCATCAACAACACTTCATTTTCCCTGATTCTACCAAAGGGTCGTTGTCATATACGGTTTATGCAGTTGTCATATGCAGTTTATCATAAACTTATACGCTTGTACTATATCCTGACAGAACACCTCGTTACGAAACATTGTGGTGTGCTTGACATTTGATATGCCAAGCTGGCATTTGATTTGTATTATTTTATAAGGATGTTATATGAAAGAGAGAGATACTTTCTAAACTATCCTACAGGCGACAAATTTTTGTTTTGTGCGAATGTTTACTGATGTTTTTCTTTTAACGTCATTTGTTCTTCCCTTCCGTACGTCTGTGTGCTAATTACTTCGGGTGGTTGTTCCTTTTAAGGATAGATCTTTGATTTTGCTACTCTACCATGTAGCTGGTTTTTCAACATGTTACACGGCATTGGTTTCGCCTCTATAGATTTGCTTATGAATCGTCATGATCAGCAAGAGAAGTTATGGTCAGGAACAAAGAATAACATAAACAAATCTAACAGAAAGATACCGGTAAAATATTTACTCAAGGATGCCAAAAATTGAATTCGACCTTGTGGCATTTGTTCATTATGGTGTCAGTCGGCTGTATTTGTTTAGCATGTGTTTACTAGTATAATTTTTTAATGGTTTGTTTTATGTTTATTCTTACTAATTTGCACTGTTTGCGTTTGCCGTGGTCGTCTTCTGGTTTGACTCTGATCATTCTCTTCGAACAGATGATACCTTGGATTTATGAGTTGAGTAATCAGTCGTGCACAAGTACACTGAATTGTCACTCCAATTATTAAATGCTTTTATAAAAAAATGTACCTGTAATACCCTTTTAAAGTCGATGCTGCTTAAAAATTCTCGTGTAAATTGATTCATATCCTTCACGGTTTCTTTAAAATTAATTTGTATCCTGTTTCAGGCTTAATGGATGGGCGTCACCATCGAATATTCTCCCATCGCTTCGCCTGTCAGACGCTTCGCATTTAAGCGTTGTAGTGCCGAAGAGAGATGGCGACAATGCGACGTCAGCTGGAAGCACTTGATTACTTGTGGCGATCGGCCTAACTTCCTCAGAGACAGGGGCTTGCCGGCGTGTGAGTTGGACATTTCGTGGTCACCATGTACCCCTTCCCGATTGGAAGAATCGCCGCGACAAAGATCGTCGCCTCTGCGACCGTTAAGAAAGTATGTCTTTCATTTAAATATGACGTTTTCATAATATGATAACCATATAGTTACCATCTTAATATTTTGATATTGTGTTGTATTAAATGACTGACGTCCCCAGACAAACTGATTTGGCAGATTAGAGACAAGAAAAAAATTTTCGTTTCGACCGCGACGGGACTGGCCTTTGTCAGAGAATTGCAAAATTTCATGTGATCGAGGAGCATTGCTACTTCAGGTTGTGTTAACTCCATAATTGTTATGATCACTGGGCCATGCTCAATGGACCGAAAGCAGGTTATCAAGCTGTTTTTCGTTATTTATCCTAATCAGTTTTAACTGTGCTCAAGGGTGAATGAAATCTTTTCCCAAGATGTTTGGTTACGTTTGGATAGTTCTCTCACGTTCATGCATGCAATCCATGTCATATTTTAGGTATCGATCAGAAGTCATAACTTCTTCACCGGTGTTTGGTAAAAGCGACACGACAAATGAAACCTCGGTCACACAGAAAACGGGCTTCCAATCTTCCAACAAACAGGCGGCAGTAGCAGGAGATACATCACCAGTATTTTACCGAAGGAAGTCTCCTTTTGTTACGCCAAAAAAGCGATGTAAGATCACGAATGACGGTCGTTGTGCGACAAACACCTGTGCTGACTCTCATCAATTCATCTGCCGTCTTAAGTTCTCACCGACCACATCCCATCGACGTTGCTTTTGCCGGTCCGGCTCACCGTTCAACAGCAGTTTAGATCTGGTAGAAGACTCCTGGTCTGATGAGGGCGACTTGGACTACCGCAGCAATGACAGTAGTTCAAGGCGACCCATTGCGGAAGTGACCGGGACTTTTAGCACAAGTCCCCCTTTTCTGCGCTCTCCTGTTTTTGATTCATCGAAAACGAACAATCGCTGTTGCCAGGGAATGCCGCCAATCGACTTTAGAGATGACCGGTCGTCCTTCATTAGCGAAAACGACGTCATCAATGATACTGTCGAAATTTCTACCTCTCTTTGCTCACGATCTTCCGGCTGCGTAAACGATCTCGAAGTGGAGGAATTCGTTACTCAAGAATCTCCTACAGTCAACCAGAGCCGTAGTTGTTTTGTACCTGAAATTGAATTTTTTCCCAGGGCGTCATTAACCGAAGCAAATGTCTTGTCGGAAAGTAGCGATTTTCAAGACTTAGCCGCGAGTACTTCGGCAGCC